TGAATACACACAGACTCATGGGGACTCGTGTCACGGTGGGGACCATAAGCAGCGTGTTTTGACATGTCGGCCCCAAACGGCGTGAGCATCCCTGTCCATCATTCGCTATGAATCTTTAATTAACACTTGTCAATTACGTGCATTTCCTTGGGGGCTGATAAATGAAAACTTTAAAGCTGATTATATTCCTCAGATGTTCTGACGCCCATGTCAAGTCGAACTCAAGTCTGCGTGTGAGAGAAAGTCTTTCTCTCAGGTTCAGCACAAGAAAAGCCCTTTCGCAACTTCCTGTAACAGCAGGAAGCAGAGACGCTGGTCCTTAAACATGCGTCAGTGTGACCAGCCCAGGCAGCTTTCAGGGTTTATTTTATCTCCAGTCAACCCGATGGCACTAATCTCATTTATTCTGCTTCCGAACTCGACTTTCCTCCTCTGAAATCACTCCCTCCGCTCTCCGAAGACCCCTGCTGCTGCTGCTTTACTGCACTCACACGCTTTCATGTTAAGCCATGTGTGGGCTCGTTTGGAAGAACTTCAGGAGGATCTTCGCCGCTTGCAGTTGTGGTGATAGGTCTGTGTAAAAGGAAAAGGTGTTTTACAGGGTTATCATTAATTAACTAAAACAAAACTAAAACCATAAAACAAATGTTCATAAACATTAACTGACATAAAACAAAATGAAATATAAAAAATGACTACAAATTTAAATATCAAAATTAAATATAAAAAATAAAATATAGAAATATAAAAAATTATATACAAATTAAATATAAATAAAAATATATAAAAATATAAATATCAAAATATATATACAAATTGAGTACAAGTAATACAATTATATAAAATTTTAATAGAAAATAGAAAAAATAGATTTAAAAAATAAAATAATAAATAAAAAAAATAATAAAAAATATAAAAATAATTTTTAAAGTTTCCCGCGGAAACCTACCAATACCACTCAAATTAGAACACATTATAACAAGCTTACCTTTGTGAATCAGGCTAAAGTAAGGAGATAATTTTGAACACTGGCTGGTTATGTACTTGCTCAAAAATTTATTTTGGATCATTTTTAACCAAAAAAAGTTACGGACTGCAGCTTTAAGGCAAGACACTACAGGCAAAAACATGCACTTTTTTCATGCACTGGTCGATATTGGTCTTTTTGGCTTTTCATGATGAGTTGTTTCAGACTGATGAAAAGAAAACCTCCAAAATGCACTTTGAAGTGTTTATTTTATTGCATTTTAACTGTTTGCATCTGTAGATTTCAATTATGATATATACGTTTAAAGATTTTCTACAACATTTTATTCATTCAATTGGAGTGAAAATGTCATTTTCTGATTTATGAAGTGATAAAAAGAGAAATCCAAAACCCTCAACAAAATCAAACAAGACTTTAGCCAGTGTTCAGGTTTCTGTTATGGAGCTAATAAAATTACAAAAACACACAACAAAGCTACTAAAACTTTAACTTAAATTAAAATGAAAATATAAAAAAATTAAAACAAACTAATAACGAAACTATTATAGCATCTCAAAAATACTGAAATAGCACTGGTGTCTTATCATAAGATATTATGTGAGCTTGGTTAATTACGGTTTGTGGGTCACTGCGACCTAAATTAAGCCCAGCAACCTTTATGAGACCTTTGTGAATCCTGCGTCCAGCCCACGGCTTTATTCTGCATTTTAAATGGCTCATAATAATGAAAAACATGATGTGCTCTGTTTAATTAAGGGTTTGATATACTATGTTTCCAGACCATTTATTGAAATTAAGCTGCAAAAACAGCTAATTCGGGAAAAAAATGGATAAATAAAAAGCTCCAGCGAGGTAGATGTTGGTGTGGGAACTACTTTTTATCCTCTTACTTCTGGAAACCACAGCAGACGGAGCGTTCAGCGGCAGCTTGCCTGGAACAGACGAGTCTTTTGAAGAGAGACGCAGATCTTGCGCTGCGCTTTCATGCGCGATGGACTCTATAGAGACCAGTCACAGCCTGTCATGCAAATTCATCAATTCCCCTTCATCCCGTTCACACGGTAACCTGTTGTAGCCATGGATACCGCTGGAGGATGCTGGGGTGGCCTGTTTATGAACACAGCATCAAAACAGAAGCTTTTTTATTTGTATCAAGGGATAAAATAATAATTTATCTTATTGGTCTCTTAGCACATTGGTGGACTTAATATGAATGATTCGTCAATGTATGCAATATTTCTTATTTAGTTTCATATTTTGATATTATTATTATTATTATTATACTACGATTACTACTACTATTTTACGTAAATATTTGATTTTTGTTATTTTACATACAAATATTACAGTAGTAACATTTCTTATTTTGTTTATTTTATTATTATTATTATTATTATAGTCATACTGCTATATTATTTTTATGATAATTTTTGTACAACCCCACAAAATAAAATTATTTATATTACTATTTTTCTTTAAAAAAAAAAAAAAATTTTACAGTGAAAAATTACAATGTAATAATAATAATTATAATAATGATAAACAAAATAAGAAACATTACTATTGTATTTTTTTATTTTGCTGATTATTATTATTGTTGTTGTTGTTAATATTATAGTTATTCTGATTTATAAGCACATAATGTTTGTTCAAACTGTGCAACTCTGCAAAATAATAATAATACATGTATTTTATAGTCATATTCATATATAATCACATTTTTTGACCAAAAGCTTTTTTTAAATTTCATTTTAAATAGCTATTGCAATTTTTTAATTTAAATTTCCCTTAAATATATATAAATTTTTCCTTATATATATATATATATGTGTGAGTGTGAGTGTGTGTGTGTGAGTGTGTGTGTGAGTGTGAGTGTGAGTGTGAGTGTG